TCCAAGTGTACAATAGGTTATACACTCTTAAAAATAAAGGTGCTTCAAAAGGTTCTTCAAGCGATGCCATAAAATAACCATTTTTGGTTCCACAAAGAACCATTCAGTCAAAGGTTCTTTAAAGAACCATCTCTTTCTTACCTTTTTATAATCTGAAGAACCTTCTTTCACAACAAAGAAGCTTTTGTGAAACAGAAAGGTTCTTCAGGTTCTTTATGGAACCATTTAGACAAAAAGGTTCTTCTGTGGCATCATGAAAATATTAAAGTTCAGATAAATCTGATGGTAGCGTTGGTGGACTGCAGTCTTCAAGTCCTTCCTCAGATTTTCAGTGGGGTTTAAGTCTGGGCTCTGAAGGCCATGCAAGCACATTCACCTTTTTCTCCTTCAACCACTGTGTGCTCAGTTTTGCTGTGTGCTTTGGGTCATTGTCATGTTGGAAGGTAAACCTTCTTTCCATTGAGAACTTTCTGCCAGAAGGCAGCCGATTTTCCTCAAGAATTTGACAGTATTTTGCCCCATAATTTTTCCTCTTATCCTGACAAGTGCTCCAGTGCCTGCTGCAGAGAAACTCTCCCATAACAGGACATCACCGCCTCCATGCTTTACTGGAGGAATGCTGTTATTTGGATGCTGAGCTGTATTGCATTTCTGCCAGACATATCGTTTGGTGTTGAGGCCAAATAATTTAATTTTAGTCTCATCTGACCATAACACCTTTTCCCACGTGGGCTCAGAATCTTCACGTGCACACAATGACCACTGCTATGTTCACACTGCAGGCAAATGTGGCCCAAATCCAATTTTTTTGCTCACTTGTGACTCAGATCTGATTTACTCATGACAGTGTGAGCAGCACAAACCCCATGGAATCTGATCTTTTCAATTCTGATTTGTGCCACTTCCATATGTGGCACTAAATCCGATTCAGGTCAGATGTTTTGCAGTGTGAACAGTCATATCGGAATTCATGCGACTTTTACGTCACTCTAGATCAACATTCGTCGCACTCATGGGAGTCACTTCTAAGATTTTACACACCCAAAGTTATCAAGACAGTTGCGAAAGGTAGTCAGTGGAAGTACAGTGATGTGCCGGAACTCAAAAGTACTACAGTGACAACTCTACAAGCACAACACAAGGGCTCGTATCATAAAAGTTTAAAAACTCTGCTCTCTTCTGTCACATCTTTGTCTTTATATTTCATATTGCCTGTGCATACTTCCGTTGGCCTCTGCGGCAGATCACACTATAAATAAATGCATAATCGGTTTACTTTATGTCCTCAGTTCAGAACCATGATCTGTTCACACTGGAATCGGCAAAAATCGGATCTGAGCAAAAATTGGAATTGAGCACTAAGGCTCGCAGTGTGAACGTAGCCTTTGTCATAAATTCCTGATTCTTTTCTATACCCACTGTATATATATATATATATATAAATCACTTTCTCCCCCATATTCCCTTTAAAATTATTTAGGTGGGTCTTGGGATAGATTGTACTTGTCTAAGTGTGTCCTGGAATGAAAACGTTTGGGAACCACTTGAAAATCAAGATGAAATCACTTCATAGATAGTGGTTTGTTGGACGAACTCCATCATGTGGTGGAATAACCCACTCAGTCACAGATATGACAATAACATGTTTGAGGTGTAATCTCGTTTGCAACTCTCTTCACGATCCTATAGCTAAAACAACGGCACATGGCTTTGGTTATGGGTTTACAAGAACTGATACAATGTACGCCTAGAATTCACCTGCATGTGTACCTGTAAGTTGCTTTAGAAAGCATCTGCCAAATGGGAATGTAAAAGATACTAAAAAACTTAAATAAATACATAAATAAATAAATAACAATAAAAACCTTTTGTTGATTCTAAGGTACACAAAATCCAAAACCTCTCTTCTGTTCATATTGTCTCGGTTCAGTTATGTTTTGTTTGCCATTTTCACCATGGTCACTGATTTGATAGCTGTTCATTATTAATGACCTTGTTTGATCTGTGCATATAAGTGCCTGTGTTTTCAGTTCTCATTTGTCTTTTCTTGTCTGTTATGTTTGTGTTTGCATGCATTCCTTTGTTTAGATTGACCTGTGGATATTATTTAAGTCTGTTCTGAATCGATTCTTCCTCGTCTTCCTGCAACCCTTTGTGACAGATATTGATTTGAAAAATATTAAACGAATTGTTTTGTAGACTTAAAATATATCATTAAAATTATTTTTAACATGGTGTTTCTTGTTTTTAGAATTTACCATCAAGCCGTGTTGAAGGTCAAGACTCTAGATCATCTCTGGATGAACAGAAGCATCAGGATATCACAACAAACAAATCAGACTCACAGCCAGAGGAGGTACTGACTAAAGAGCAGAGCTTGAGCCATAGATTTTCTGAGGGACATTGTCACCAGAATATCAGTAATTATGTTTATATGACTGATTAAATGCCAGTGCATAGAATTAAGAAGAATGAACACATTAACGTGTTAATTAACACAATGATTTTTGTTCCCACATATAAACACATTATCATTCACATCATTTTAGAGTTTAGACCGTATAACTCTCCAGGTCTTTCCCTCCCTCAATACTTTTGCTCCCGATGATGTGCTAGAGTGTCTGATTTAAATGAATTCGATAGGAGTCAAAGCACTTTGATATTTCTTTATAATTGTAGCCAGCTGTCCAATTAAAAATTATGAAATTAAATGAATTTATAATAGAAACAATATAAAATATGAAAACATAAAATTTTTGTTATGGTTTAGTTTATTGTCTGCATTTGCTATTCTTCATCATAAAATAGTTTTTAAACATAACTCGGCTATGAGTGAGTATAGTTAATTTTTCATATAGAAATATGACTCTGCATTCATTATGATTTTTCCTATAACAGGCCATTTGTAAAAATGGTGATATAAACACAACCCAATCACAACTCTCAGCACCACTGGATATTGCCAACTTGAAAATCAAAGTGGACTGGAAAGAACCATTTCCAGATAAATGGAGTAAAAACTTAGAGATGGCCATTCAGAGATGGTTGTCCAAACTGGAAGGAGCACCATCTGTCCACAGCATTCAACTCATGGATGATCAATCATGGGCACAGGTGCAGATTACACCATCAACGGGTGAGATGATTTATGATAATTCACTTGAATGCCCTTTTCAGTTTAAATCTTGTAGATGATAGTATCTATATATAAATAGCTAAAATACATTAAGTTTTTTTTTTTTAGTATTGTTATATTACACAAAGACAAATACTAGTGTTGGTGGTAACACATTACTAGAAACACATAGGCCCATTACTTATTACAATTACAGATGACATTTCAAGTCAAGTAATGAGTGAAGTATTAAGTAAAATGTTAATTTTAAAGTTACAAATAACGCTAACTGTTAAGGCCAGTTCAAACCAAAAAAATAACTGCATTTATGGCGAAAATACAACATTTTTGTGTCAATCCATGTTCATTTTGACCACGAACATGTGCTGTGATTCAGTGCTTGCTGTGCAACAACAATAGTTTCAGAATGGAGACGATCACTGCATCTGCAATGCATCTGCCCCACCGTGTCTGTGTGTGTGTGTGTGCAGTGTGAATGCAGTGTGAATGCTCTAATCTGTTAACCTGGAAAAAAAATAAATACTGCAGACAGATCATGTGAAACAGGCATCGCTCACAGCTCTGTCAGAGAGACTCTCGCTATTGCTTTTCTGCTCTTCACTATATTCAAGTGAAAACACTAAACAAAATGATTTCTTGCTGTTGAATGGTTTCTTCTGATTGATTTCACTTAGTGGACTTTTATATTTTAAATATATTTTTCTCTATAGCTCTAGAAACTTTAGAAAATCATGGGACTGTATATTTGCATTTTAAACATGAAAATAAGGATGCGACTGCGCAGATTTTTCTGGATGAAGAACATTCTGTGACTGTATCACAAAACACCTCCACGTCGGACACGAACAGAAATCCATCATCAAAGGTATCAAGTTTACTTTTTAAGGTATTGATTGCTTCGAGAACCAGGGGTGGATCTAGAAAATGAGTTAAAGACACCCTACAGTCACTAATTTTATCCCTTAAAACTCATCATGTCTGTGATTGGCTACATTGCAAAAGCACATTGTAAACAGAAACCTTTGAGCAGGTATGAAAAGCCCCGCCCTGCACGATGAGAAGACTAGTTACATGTTTGTGATGTAGGAAACACGGGTGGTTTCAATCCATGTTTTTGATTTTGGTGCACCACAGTTTTAAGGAAAAAATACTCAGCAATGATAAATTTGATACATTTGCACATGGTTTGACTTTAAGCATATTAAAAACCCCAGATAGACATAAACAACATTAAATACTTGATTTTTACCATAAGGGTGTCTTTAAAGGGTGGGAAGGGGGTGGCTTGAGGACAGAGGCTACACACTGCAGCTGAATTTGGTTATCAATCACCACAGTTCAGAAACTTATAGAAATGACAACTGAATTAGCCGCATTTACCAAAATCCTATGCAGTGTGTACTGAACCAAAGTTAACAACGAGTTGTTAATGCAGTGTGAATCAAAGATGTGTCTCAATTTTCTGTCATCTTTGCAAGAATGTATTTTGAAGATTGCACAAAGTAAGATATATCTTTAGCAACAGTGTGAAAGTGAATAGCGGTATTAAACATATCAATCAGTGCAATATGTGTCACAAATATGCGTCATCGTTTTTAAATATCGCAGTTTTCATAGTCTACACTACAATATGAAATGTTGTACTTGGGAGTGTCTTCAAAAAGCTCAGTTTTCACTGTCTCAGTGTGGACGAAAGGCCAACATGTAAAGAAAAAAATGTGCTTTTAGTGTAGACGTAGCCTAGATCAGTGCTGGGCAACTGGCCCTCAAGTAGTGATGATCATTAAAGAACGATTTGTTCATTGTGCCTATCATGTGACATGAATGAAAGTCTTGGGAGGTAAACTACTCATTTATGTCCCTCATAAATGATCCTTGACTGCATTATAATGATTTCTTAATTTGGATTATGATCGAGATTACGTAGATGGATGTGTTTGGGGAATTAGGCTGTTGAAAATATAACATTTAACAACACTCAAATGGATGAAATGACTTGAATAAAGAATAATAAATAATAAAATAAAGTTCACTTTGCTAAACGAGATTGAATGAGAGAGTCAGTCAAATGATAATTCAGGTGAATTATGACTTAAATGTGACTAATTCACATAATGCATAAAATTAAAGGAAATAATTAGGATTATTACTACTATTATAGTTTCTATGTTCAATATCTTTTTATTGCTTTTATTTAATTTAATTTTATTAATATTGTTATTATTTGAATAATAGTAATACCTTCAATTTTTAGGCGCCTTTCAAAACACTCAAGGACACCGTACATCATAAAAGAAAAGCAATAAAATACAAAACATCATAACATAGTTTAGATGGCAAAAAGGTATATATCCTATGTTCCCTTTATTTATTTTCTTACTGAGCAAAACTTTTCTCTGTTGAACAGACATTTTGGCCACTTGAGCAAAAACATTCTTTATACTAGACCTGTACAGCGCGCGCACACACACACACACACACACACACACACACAATTGTGTAACTTTTAACTTTAATGTGCTATTTATATTTGATTTGATCTTTGATGTAACTAAATAATGCTCATTTTAGGTTATCTGAGAAAACATTTTTTTACAGTTACCAATACATTCTATAAAAATTCATAAAAAAAAATCAGAACAGTTAAATTCTTTGTAATAATATAGTATAATATAATATGAAAAAAATAAAGCAGATATTGCTCATGAATTCCCTTTTTGAGGTCAATTATTTATTAGGAATATAATATAATATAAGATAAAAACAAACTGAAGCATTTAAACTGAGATCTGTAAGCTAAATGTTTTCAAAAAACGTGAGCATGTGAATTCTTATACAGTTATCTAAGTAGAGTTTAGAGTAGTAGAGTTTGCACACTACTACATCTGTGTGTGACTGTAAATATCTTTTATTAGAGTTTTGTTTGAGTTCTGTGCACATCATCTATTTCCACCACTTAATCAAACCACTCTTCTTTAAAACATGATGACGTTTTCTTTCACATGTCATTGTGTTTGCGTTGGCTCTCATGTTGAGCTATTTTGTCCTCAGCCATTAAAGTATTCGATTTCTACAGCGATTCATTTAGCCCACATTTTTCTACTCTTTCTATGTAACCTGTAAACCGCATTCACCGGTTCTAAGAGCGACAACAACTCCATAGCGGTTTGCCCGAGCATTGCAATTATTTCGCATTTCCTAGAATTCAATCAAATGGATTTCCCAACTCAGTTTTTTTGTATGTGTCCTGTGTGCAGGATATTATTTCTACTGCACGGCCGTGACTTAATAAGTGCGCAGCTTAGAAGGAACATTGTCTTTATCCATAATAAAAGTGGAATGGGCAATCCTTGAATCCATATGCCAGGATAAATGCCAGTTACTGTACTCGACAAAAGTCAAAATAAACAAAGAGGAATAATAATATACTGCAATCACAGACATCCTATCCAGATGAGATTAGATTTCTCAGAGGGCCTCTGAATTAGCAGAAAAACAGTAATTGTCTGATTAACAAATACATGGAAAACAGTCCATTTGGGCACAAATTGAGCTACACTGGTTTTACTGTGTGTTTTTGACTCACTAAAACGTCATTTGTTTCTAAAGTGGATTACATCAGGATTGCTGCACATATATGCAGCCAACGAAGACAACTTATAGAGCTTACATTTATATTTTATACACTGGGATTTACACAATTACTGTAAAAGTCACTGTTGGTATCAACTCCTTAAAATCCCATGATATGTTTTTAGGTGAACGAGACTAAACCTGTGACTTCTGCTGCATCAGATGACAAAAATAATGATGCAGATGTTCCAAGTAAGACTAAGACCATTAAAACTGATGAAAAAAACCCAGAGACCTCAGCTGGATTTACTGTCCCCCTCCATCAGTTCTGGTACATGCTTCATGCTTACAAAAAGGAGGTAGAGAAAATTGAGAAACAACATGGAGTCAGTATGCATGCAGAAGTGTCAGTCTCATTCATATCCACCCAGAACTCAAGCCCTGATTCTGTCTCCAAAGCCTCGGAGGACTTTCAGAATCTTGTCACTGATTGTGTGGTTAATTTTAGTGATGTTACCATTAATCATAATGACATGAATTCAGATATTGTGAAGGAGGCAATTCGTAACATCCAGTTAGAGGAGACAAAGTTGATGTTGACCATGTCTGCCAGCAACTGCCGGTTCTTTGGACCAAATAAAATTACAGACATGATTAACAGAGAGACAACAAGAGTGGAACAACAATTCAAAGACAAATCAAATGAAATGGATGAAGATAACAACGTTTCTCCACAAAGCAGGTTTTCACTGGACATGGACACTAAGGACCTTCCAACTCAACTTGAGATGGACAAGGTTCATTGGGATCTGATGAATCTTTCCTATAAAGAACAATTGTCCCAGCTTGAAACAAAGTATAGAGTGTCATTTCATGAAGACAAAATGCAGAAAAATGTAATTAAGGTTCAAGCTCGATCCAAAGGATTTCAGCATATTAATCTGGAAAGTCATGCCCTCAGAGCTCTAACACAACTCTACCAGAAACTTGCCTCAGCCACTGTCAGCTGTAAACTCACAAACCCTGCAGATAAAACTGACGTGGCTGCACTATTAGAGAAACTTCAGCAGCAGCATCGTGTTGTTGCAGCAGCAGATAGACTCAGTCTCTGGAGGCTTGTTGGACTGCCAGAACATCTCGGTCCTGCCATTGCTGATATTGAGAAGACACTTCAGAGGAATGTGTTTGATGACCAAATGAAGAAATTGATTGGTTACTCAGGTGACATTCCTCACACAAGAAAAATCAACTGGAATCAGACGCCTGGTTATGGACCAGGAGCAGTGGGTGGAGCAGTACAGGATGAGGGAGTGAAGTTTAGAGGGCAAGGCAAAGCAGATGCTGGTTTCAATGAAGATTCAAAAGACAATTCTAGACATGAGAGTAAAGGTGCTCATGCTGAAGAGGAGACATGTACTATTTGTATGGACAGCTTCACCAACAAGACAAAACTGAAATGTGGTTGTGAAACAGAAAGGTTCTTCAGGTGTTAAAGGTTCTTTATGGAACCATTTAGACAAAAAGGTTCTTCTATGGCATCGTGAAGCACCTTTATTTTTAAGAGTGTACTGTGTGATCCCAATAACCATTCCTCTAGGCTGGAAGACCTGGGGCCTCATTTATAAAATGTTCTGTAGATTTCATCCTAAAAGTGTACGTACGCACAAAAGCTAAATTTGGTATACGCACAAATCTCCACTCGCAAGCAGATTTCCTTCACTCACACAAAACTGGATGTGTGCTTTTAAATATGCATTGTTCTTTTATGAATTGTCTCTGCTCTCACACAGAAATTACGTGTACGCTCAAACATTGTCCTCGCATCACTGAAGACCAGAGGAGCTTTTTTTTCTAATTCAGGTGAAGAGCAGGCTTTTCTCACTAAATGGAAGCAAGCTGAATATAGTCAGCCTTTTCTAGCTATTTATTTTATTAATACTTATTTTAGTTAAGTGCTTAAATTGTAAATATGCATTTATTAAATTATTTTATTTAGTGCATTCGTATTTTGTTGTTTTTGTATATAGTTATACAACAAAAGTGCATCAACGAGGTTCCAGAAATAATCACTGAGGGTGCTTCTGAAATGAGTGAGGGTGCTCTAGTCTTAATGCACATTTACACGTATTTTGTCCCATCCATTTTGTTGCTTACGCAACGTTTATACATCAGGCCCCAGGCCCCTGGGCTTTATAACACCAACTATTCTGTGTCCAGTCCTGTTCCTGGGGGGTCACTGTCATACAGAGTTTAGCTCCAAAAACACACCTGAACCAACTAATCAAGGTCTTTGGGATTACTAGAAACTTTAAGGCAAATGTGTTGAAGCAGGTTGGAGCTAAACTTTGCTGAAAATTGTCCCTTCAGGAGAAGGAGTGGACACAAAATGCAGAAAAACAATGAAAACAAACACAATATAAAGTATAAAATGTTTAATTTATTTATTTATATATATGTATATTATTTACATATAGTTTTGGTTAAGGTTATGGCACAGTAATACATCATATTTATCATTTTTTTTAGAAGAGGCATCCAAACCCGGGAAACTATTTTCATGGCACATCACGTCGTGCGTACTTGCCTGACAACCGTGAAGGAAAAGAAGTGCTCGCACTGCTGCAGAGGGCTTTTGATCAGAGACTGATCTTTACTGTTGGGACCTCTACAACCTCCGGTTTAGAGAACGCTGTCACCTGGAATGATATTCATCATAAGATCAATACACACGGCGGGCCTCAAAAGTATGATTTCATTTAAAGTCTGTGTTCAATTGTCCATCATGTCCTGCAAAATTAGTAATCAAACATTACGTGTTTATTTGGCTTTCATGTAAATAAAATAGTGTATCTGAACACAGTGGTGTAGCGAGTCAGCCCCGGGCCCATACGCAAAAAATTTGTACGGCCCCCCCAAACGTTATGGGCTCCAACTCGGTTAACTTAACTTAGGCCCTATTGTTGATTTTTCTGAAGTAAATAACGTTACGTGAATCGTGACAATTCACAAGCTGTTTTATTTATGGTCTAGGCTAACGCTTAGAAATGATGTTTAGTTTTCAAGTTCATTCATTATTTGTAGCACACAAGCCACCTCTTATTTAGTTATTTTTAAACGTGGCACAAAAATGCTGCAGTAAAGGCTACTGAATGCAAACACAATTTTGGCACAGCGTCCCAAAAACAAACAACAAAAAAAGTAAAAAAATAGTGAGGGGATATTTGAATTATTTGCTAATAATGTTTTCTGAGTCAATGTTGCAAAAATGAATGAACCTGACTCACCATCTCCTCATTGGACGGGCCTTTAGAGAGAAATGCACGGATTACATAATGAAAGAGTTTTTGTTTTCGAATTGAATTATTTCGTTTTAAAATAGTAATTGAAAGCATTCTATAGATATATTTATCATGTCGGTGAAGCGCTCCTGCTCAAGACCAAGACGACAGAAAAGCGCATCCGGTTTGTTTTCCTTATTTTACAAAAGCACAAGGTTTTGTTGATATTGTGAGTGCACACAAATACAAGTAGACCATTGCAGTTCCGAATGATGTATACTCTTACCTTTATGAGCAAAAATGATGGCGTTCCTTTAAAAAACAAAAACTTGAATTTAACAAACATAAAAATGTTCCAAACATATTTCTAAATTAACTTAATAAAGAAACAAAAAGAAATATGACCACTTTGGCATTAAAAACCAAATCTGAATTTTAATAGCTGTGTAATGGGGAAGACAGAGAGAGAAAAGACACTGTATCCAGTCGGACTCGGGCCGAGAGTTCTCATAAGCTGTTGGACAAGGGCCGGGCCCATGCAGGGCTCTATTCGTTCCCTCGTTTCAATTAAAAGTTCCCCCCAGCTCGACGGGCCCCCAAACTGCCCGGGCCCATATGCACCTGCATACCCTGCATGCCCAGATGCTACGCCACTGTCTGAATTATTATTATGAATCTATTATTTTTCTGTCCACAGCTATGGCTATCCAGACCCTGACTACCTGAAGAGAGTAAAGGATGAGTTGAAGGCCAAAGGCATTGAATGAAGATTTTATTGATGTTCCCAAATGCTCATCTAAGCCAAATGTTTACAAATAAGCCATTCTTTGATTATGATATTGTAATATACTTATTTTATATATAGTGACTTTCAGAAGTATTCAGACCCTTGACCAGTTTACTGAAAAATAAACTATTTAACTCTTGTACGGTGTGAAGCAAATCTTAAATCTCAAAATTAATAATTTGAAAGCAGGATTGGTTTTAACAAAATAAATAAAAAACTAAAACATACAATCTTCCAAAAAATGCAACCCCTCTGCTCTGGAGATCCATGTTTACACAGCTGAAATTACAAATCATTATTTTCTTTGGTGTATTCATTCTATACACCTGCATACATGAAGAACACACTTTATCACGGCCACTAATGTGGTTAGCTAATTCTCACAAATGAAACATTGTAAAGTGTTACCAAAACATTTTCAGTGGGTCAAAATACTTTTGGCAGGCACCATATACAGGTGTGGTCACATGTTTACATACACCTTGCAGAATCTGCTAAATGTTAATCATTTTAACAAAATAAAGGGATGATGACGTGTAAAGTTTTCTTATTTTGTTCAAAGATCATATTTTTCCATTTAGTATGGCCCATCAGAAGCTGCAGAAGATACTTACATGTTTTGCAGAAGAAAAAATAACCAAAGAATTTGTGGGACTTGCGGGATGATGTTTCTGAAGAGCAGCGGTCAGTTTAACTGCTCAGGACTAACAAAGGACTCATGAAAAAACAGTCATGGATCATCCAGGTAACAGTATTGAGAATCAAGCATATGCAAACTTTTGAACGGGCTCATTTTGATAAATTCAGTTATTATTTTGTCTTCTGGTGTATATGTAAACATCTGTTATGTGAAATACCATATTCAGGACAGTAACATCTTCTCAGGACAGTAACAAATGTTTACGATCCCTCTTATTTTGTTCAAATTGTGAAAATTTCGCAGATTCTGCAAGGTGTATGTAAACTTGTCACCACAACTGTATATATTGGTATTGTTTTAATTAAGGTGATGGGCTTTCATGATGTTCAATTGTAATGAATTGTAATGAAATGTTTTAGCCTGAAGTTGTCTTGTGATTTTCATGCGTATACACTGCAAATATGAAGCGAGTATATAAAGTACCACACTAAAGGCACTTGTGTTGGTCCTGATACTCGCATATATTAAAAAGTGTGTAGTACTTATTTTAATGTGGGACTATGGAAAAAAAAACTTATGTTTGTGATTATATTTAGATTTAAATGTTAAAGTTTAACATCAATTTTAGTTCTGATAAAAATGTGTAACCACAATTTCTCAGAGAAATCAACCTACCAATGGTTTGTTTGTGTATAGAAAGTTGAGTGCAAAACATACGAAACATGGCACACTTCACCAAATCTTTCACAAACTGCCTATAATAATACTTGTTGATTTTACTTTTAAAATGTATGCTTTTTTTCTCAGTGCACCTCTTCATATTTTAGCTCTTGTTTTCAGAAAGCAAAGGATGACTTTATCTCGGAACAAATTTGAATGATTAATCTTGGGTTTTTGTTTCAATCAATCATATTGAAAATGCCAAATTTTTTGGACAAAATGTATTGAAGTTCTAACTTTTGGAAAGATTTTTTCCTTGTAAACAAGTTGTCATAAATAAAAGAAATCAGCTTTAAAATATTTACAATTGTTGTAGATGGGTTCTCTTGTAGGGTTTAAAAGTAACAAATAACTTTGTATACTGTACCTGTTACAACCCATGGCTCTTACAATTCTATGGCTCTCAATTCTCGGGGCTCTGCTCTTACATTTACATTTAATCATTTAGCAGACACTTTTATCCAAAGCGACTTACAAATGAGGAGAACAATAGAGGCAATCAAACGAATGAGAGAACAAGTGCTGTGACAAGTCTCAGTTAATCTAGCACAGTACACACAGCTAGTTTTTTTTTTTAAAGAATGGAATAGAATAGAATATAATAGGTAAGTGCAAGTATTAGTTGGTCAGGTGCTGGCGAAAAAGATGCGTCTTTAGACGTTTTTTTGAAAATGGCCAAAGACTCAGCTGTTTGAATTGAGATCGGGAGGTCATTCCACCAGCTGGGCACAGTCCAGGAAAAGGTCTGTGATAGTGATTTTGTGCCTCTTTGGGATGGCACCACAAGGCGTCTTTCACTTGCAGAATGCAAGCTTCTGGAGGGCGCATAAGTTTGAACTAGCGAGTTTAGGTATATTGGTGCAGTGCCAGTTGTTGTCTTGTAAGCAAACATCTTTAACTTGTATTTGATGCGAGCAGCTACTGGTAGCCAGTGTAAACTGATGAAGAGAGGTGTAACGTGAGCTTTTTTTGGCTCGTTAAAGACCACTCTTGCGGCTGCATTCTGGATCAGTTGCAGAGGCTTGATAGTGCATACGGGAAGGCCCGCCAAGAGAGCATTACAATAGTCCAGTCTGGAGTAGGCCTGTCGCGATAACAACTTTTTGTTGTGCGATATATTGCCCCAGAAATAATTGCCCCAGTGCGTTGTGATTGGCCGAATACCTCAAGCGTGTGACAGAAATGTTACGCCCCTACCATACTGTGATCCCGTGTCCCGGAGCGACGAGACATAAACATTAAAACCCATTATAAACAAGGCATTTGTTGCATCCAGTGGGGACATAATTATGGATTATAATGACTTATAATGTCTTTTTACGCGTTGCGTTGCATCGCGCCGCATAAACATAAAATAATGTCTGCATTTGTGATCGGACAAATGACAAACAACAAGTGCTACTCTACACTGCCCAAACACACGCGCACCCCACTGATTCACTCTGCTCGCTCCTCCCAAGGCACTGGCCATCCAGGGGCCAACAACACCCTCTCGCTGCTACGAGATTGCTTCTGGTGGCCCAATATGGCAAGGGACGTGAGAAGGTTCGTGCAAGGATGTCCAGACTGTGCCATGTCCAAGAGCCCGCGCCATTTACCATCTGGCAAACTCCTTCCTCTACCGGTGCCAAATCGCCCCTGGTCACACCTAGGAGTAGACTTTGTCACTGACCTGCCCCCCTCTGAAGGTAACACATGCATCCTGGTTATAGTTGACCGGTTCTCAAAATCATGTCGCCTTCTGCCCCTCAGAGGTCTCCCCACTGCACTGGAAACAGCTAAGCTCCTCTTTAACCAGGTCTTCCGCTATTATGGAATTCCCGAAGACATTGTCTCCGACCGGGGGCCTCAGTTTATCTCCAAAGTATGGAATGCCTTCTTCAGACTCCTAGGTGTGACCGTAAGCCTCTCGTCCGGATACCACCC